CAGATGCAGTTAGGTGTATTTTTGCCCACCTAAACAAAGGGAGACTATCTGAGCAGCGAGGCCTACAGGACAACCAGCAGGTCAAGTATTCACCCTCTTTGCTTTCAGCCACGTTTCTCATTCCCCTGTCATCTTTCTTTGACAAATACCTAGTCACATGAAGGAAAATAATACTGAACTTGAAGAAAGGTGGTTCACATTCCAAGAACCACTTCAGCCTTCAGCAGGCTGGGTGACCCCGATACCTTAGTGCACCAGAGGCAGCAGAGGTTCACGAGCAAATCTGCAGCACGCTCTTTCCAGTTCTTTTTCTTCGCACTTTGCAGCGGGGGGAAAAGGGTTGATTTACAAGACTATTCAGTTTGCTGCTGCTGCTGCTGGTACAAGTTTAAGATACCACAAAATTGCACACGCTGAAAGCTTAATCTGCACGTTTCCCAATGAAAAACCGAAAGGAATTATCTTAAATCTCTTACTTGTATATACAATTTCAATCCAAATTTACATTCACATCATCTTCTTGGATAGCAAAAGGCACGGATCAGATGAAACACAGCATTGAGATGTGTTGCTTCCACGTATTTATAGAGTATTCCTTAAAATACCAGGATGTGTTCCTTTAAATTCATTTGGAACAAGCCACTTACAAAAGGCTGGATAAAAACTAGTGGACTTGTTATGACCTCTGAGGCAAGGTTATAACCCCACACATGGCTGCAGGGTCAGCTGGGACGCCTTTGCGGGTTAAGGTGTTTGTGCTAGATGTCACTTTTACTTCAGAAGTGAACTGAAGTCCTTCCTGTGGCTAGCTAACAAAAAGCTGGAAAAAGTCTCACTTACCCTCAGAAGAGACAAGTTACACACTCAGTTCTTTTTGAGTCTTTAAAAACAGAAGGACAAAGTTAGTAAGAAATTACAGGATATAAACCTCCCTATTTTTCAGCTCCGGAAATGGATTTGTCTTTGAGCAATTTACATTCAGTGAAGTAGTACAGACACCTGTTTGAAATCATTGAGGCTTAGCTAGCACACTTGAGCAGAACTTCACTCAGATGCTGCGAAAGAAAGCAAAAAACAAAGTTTACAAGGAATACCTGGTTTCCCTCCAAACACATTTTTATTACTTGAAATATGGAAAAAAAACCAAAAAAAAAAAAAAGAGACTTTTAAAAATGATGCCTCTCCTGCTGGAGCACTTCAAACCCGTCAGCGAATTCCAATGAAGACACCTTTCAAGCTGAGAATAATTTGAATACTTGGCTATTTTAACAACCTGCACAAACTGTAGATACTGTATGATAAAGACCCTACCAAATCAGCAGATCCATTTTTCCCTGTATTTTTCTGCTGCTTGAGTTATTAAGAATCAGTACTGAAGGAAATACCTGCAAAACTATCCCAGTTATGTGCACTCAAACTCCATACTCAATAAAATACTGTGGAGACCCTGAAAAAAATAGAAGCTATGTCTTTAAATAGACTCCAGACCTGCAGTTTCACACTTGGCTGCACATTCCCGCGTGTACTTTTGCACAGAAGCATACTTTTAATAGTTAAAGAGCAAACCAATCGCGTGGATCCTTCCTTGACATTTAAGATTCTCTATAGAACAATCTTTTGCTTTGGTAAAATACAAAGAATGGGAAAATCTGGGTAAAGAGAGCACAGTAAATACCATGGGTGTATCATACCTTCTTTAAGAAATACGAGCTGAAATGTAAGGCATCCCCAAAGTATTGTTTGCATATGCAAGGAATGCAGTTCTTTGTAAACAAAAGCTTGAGGAAAGCAATACTGAAGCTAAAGAATCTTCCCTAGGATCCTTCCGATGATCCCAAAACCAAGAGCAACTCTCCTAGGGTAAGTGGTTTAGAACTAAATCCTGCGAAAAAGTGAATCCAATCCTCTGTCTTCCCATAACATTTTAATCACTTATTAGACTGGCTCGCCTTGAAGATCCCAGATTGAGAGAGACGTAAAAGTTGATTCTCAAGGGCTCAAGCTTGTCTTCAGTCTATTTTTCTGGTACACAGCTTTCTATAGATTTCATGGCAGTGCTGTTATGGCCTATGGATGCTGGCACAGTATTCCCACCGGGAACATTTCCTGGTGCCTGGGACTGACAAGCAGCTGCGGGTTTAGTGGCCAGAAGTGGTCTAGAAGAATTAGGCCGATGTCTGTGATGACCTGAATCCTCACCCGTTGCGGCAACTGGTCTCTTTTGGCCAGATTCTTCACTAATAGGAGGCTGAAAATAAACATTGTCAACCTGTTAAATGTTTTTCTCTAGGGCCAGGTATTTACCTTTTCACATACTTAAGGGATCAAAAAAGAAAGAGCATTCCATAATTATCCCCTTTGTTAGTAATCTTAGTTATCTGCAACTCGCTGATGATATTCTAATGCTTTCCTGGCCATTTAGCTAGAAGTGCAAGTGTGTAATACAGCAAGGACTTTTGACAGTCTTAGAGCACTATTTAATTCTCCAGCCCCCCAGTATTTGCCACGACTGGAAAACAGAGGGTTTGAGAGGATGATGGTAATGTAGTGCACCATAACCCAGCCAGGAAAAACCATGGCAGCACCATACCCTGCAATAACACAGTTTAAGTGTTCAGCAGCTGACAGGAAGGGTACAGTGCATCTGGCACATGAAGTCTCAGCAAGGACCATGCCTGTCACCAGTCATTCAGAAATGACAGTGGAGCATGAATTCATTTGCCACGTTCTTTAAGAACACCCTTTTAAGGGTATAGAAGTCATCAGTCTTACCAGATGAGAGATAACCTATGTTTTGCTATTTAATTAATTACACAATGAAAACACACCAACAACTTCCTACATTTCAGCCACCGCATCTCAGCACGTTACTTTGGTTCAAAAAAGAACATCTAGACTTAAACCTGCATGTTTCACTTGACTCTAATCTTTCAACCACGCTGTTTCTAATCATTGTCAGGATCTGAAAAGCTGCCTTGCTGTGAACTGACACAGTGTTCTCGGTTTACCTTGCACTAAAACTATCTGTACACCAAATAATTCTTGAAAATAAGTACTGAAACTCACATCCACTCGGAAGTCCTCCAGTCTCTTAAATTTACTAAGGTACTCTTGAAGTTTAGGGTCAACAGCTGGATATTTGTGCTGAGAGTATTTTAGATAAGCCCAAAATTTTTCCAGTCCATATAGCTGACCTAATAATGGAAAAAGGTAGTTTTACTGATTTGCAAAGGTCAGATTCAATTAAAAACTTAATTATTCACTGGTAACTTTATGTTTAAGAGAACTGAATAGAAACATGAACAAAAGCTGCTCCTGAATTGGTTAACAGGTCAGTGTCAAGGAACTGGGATTATCTCCCATCTAAAGCCTCCCCCGTGTGAGCAGCGACAGGCCTGTGATAATTACCAGCTTCATAGTCTCTCTTTGTTTCTTCTTGGAAATCCCGGAATATTTCTTGGCTGAATTTCTTCTCTAGGCCGTAGCTGTAAAATCTAAACAAGCATTCCAATCCATACCTGCAACAGAACAAAGAGGTATGAAAACCTTCCACATGCACTCCTCATTCCTCAGGAGGATGACAGTTTTCAGCCTCTCCTTGCATTTAAAGTAAACGGCACCATCTCATTTTACCCTTTCTCATAAAAATCAATCATAAGGAAGTGTTTTTCATCAACTGACTGTTCTGAAACACCTTCACAAACAAACAAAAGTGATTTCAGAAAATCAAGGTTATCCCAGTGTTTCAACTTACACACATACAAAGTGGAGACAAATGCTTCCACACCTTTGGCATGTTTGGGTGCATAAACGGTTTCACCATAAACCCGACCATTGTGGGTCAGAGCAGAAGCCAGCCTGAGCCACCGTCAGTGCGAGAACGCGTGCGCAGGTCAGGACTCTGTGCTCCTTAAGCACCCACACAGTGCAGCGCCAGGGTTTCTGCCTCAGATTTGGTAACACACCGTCACCAGCACCGCCTTGGGCCGCAAGGTGACTGGCACCTCCTCCTGTTCTGCATCCCCTTAGTCCCCTTAAGTGCCTTCTGAAGTTCCTCCTGTTAAACGTATCATCGGATAATCACAGAGCACCGAGAAAGCTCCGAGCAGAGACACAAGATACTATTAAAGGCACCTTTGCACCCAAGGGACTATCACTCTGCAGGCCAAGACAACATCGCTGACCTCCAGGACTTCCATAGCCAGCACTTGGCATTCAAAACACTGGTCTACCTTGTCTCTGTGGCTAAGAGAAGCAAGGAGAACTGACTGACAGGCCAGGAATTACATCAGAGCTGAAGGGGCAGTGGTCATTTTACTGGTATTTTTGAAGTAGTTCCAACAACCTGAATGAAATTAAGAATGTCTTCACCTATGGAAGGGATAATCTTAGGAGTGTTAGGTAGTGTAGAGCTGACTTGTCACGGTCAACAAGTTACAGGATTTTGTAGCGTTCAGGACCAATTACAAGTCAGGAAATGCTGCACGTTTAGCTATTTATCTGCAAAGCACAAATATACACAAACAGATTTTGGCATTAAAACAAAACCAACTTACACTGATTGCTACTTTAAAGATTTACAAAGAGCCAAAGCCAATACTAAAAATGATCAATTCAGACATATGTAAACTTTACAGTCATTAAAAGGAATGGTAAGACCTCAACAGTTTGTAACTTCTGGGAAAAAGCAAATACCTGTAGTGTTCTTTTGCATCATCCAGAGCAAGTTGCTTGAATTCTTCATACATTTTCTTGTTAAAGTGATCTCTCAGAAAAAAGGCCCAGAAACGAAAGAGTTTGTTCATTTCCTGGGACTGGCCAATTCCCAACCGTTTCCTCTCTGGAAGAAAAAAAGGAAGTTAAAAAACCAACCTATTTTTTCAACTTTTCAGCAGAATAAGTACTTTTGCAGCAGTAATACACATACAGGATCTTCCAGTAACTTGTTGAAATTTCAGTGTAATTTTTATTGTCAGGGTGTGTAAAGTTAAATGGAAAGTAGAGTTCAGCAAATAGAAGCATCAAATGATTTTTGCTTTCTTTTCCCAAGAACAATGAAGTTTGGGGAACAAGGTGGTATCAGAAGACAGCCAGTAAATTCCACCTACAATTTTAGGAGGTGCGTTTAACAGCTTACCCATTAGACACCTTCGACGGTATTTGTGGTACACCTGTTGAGTAAAGCCATTTTCCTTTAACAGTTCATGAGAAGGATGCTGAAATTTTGGAAGAGAATTTGGGGTACACCCGTAACTTCCTGCCAGTGGGGTTCCTTCTGAAGGCGAAGCATTGGAACTGCTGGAGGAAGAAAGACAACCACCACCAAAACATACATGTATTTCTGTCCTATGTGGAGAATGCTGTTCTACAGAACCAGTTTTCAAGCGTTCTGTCAGAATAATACAGCCACCTGATGACCACTACAACGCACGCACAGGGTCCAGTCATGCTTTCGGAGGCACCTCAAGCAAGATCAAATTCTGTGCTAGTATGTCAAAAAAAAACCCCAAACCAAACCAACAAACAACCCAGGCAGTTTTGGATGACGATGATTCAACATTACTGTAATGCCTGAGTTTAAAGGACAATTTAAAGGCAAAAAATCACCGAGGTGAACTTCAGTACTTCAAGTACTATTACTGCTACCGTATCATGGATCAACCAACGTCATGAACATAGCCTAGCCAGAGTGCCTTGTATTCTAGACTTTGTCTTTCTTCATTGCTCTTTCCTTGCTCCCACTGTACTTGTCTTTTCTCACAGCCTATTTCCCTATTAGCAGTGGGAAACAATGACATGGCAAACAAATCTTCTACCACAAAATTACAATAAATTACCCCACGGAGGAAGTCCTTGGCCTGTGGTCTCTGGAATCCATCACCCAGCCAACATGGGATTCTAAGGGAGGATTTGTACTGTGCCGTGTTTTTCTTTTTCTTGGAGTCTAAGGAAGTAAATCAAGCATTTATTTTCCAATTTCACTCATTCCCTCCCTCTTAACACAAAGTTCTAAAACTGTTATATTCTATTCTAACACGTCAGAAAGTCACAACACTCCAGTTTCATAATCTAAAGAACTTTTAACGCAGCATTACAGAGAAAATGTGGAAACCATTTTATAGAAATAAAAGAATTAATATGGTAAATATTTTCAAGATAATTAAAGAAAAAGTACATGCTTGTTAAATTGTGGACACAGGCATGAATTTTACAGTCTTTTTTTCTGGTTTAAAAAAAATATATTACATCTTTCCTTTTACCTTTACATCAATGGATCGTGCTTCTTTAACAACAGGGTAGAACCTAGGTGTTTTGTTGGGATCCTGCAGCCTCGGGGTGCGAGGTGTTCGCTCGGTGAAGCCAGGGTGAACACGGGAGGAATCTGGAACTGCTGTTGGCAGTGACTGAGCTACTGCTGCTTTTGGAGGTACTTCAGAACGTAGCAAATCACAAGTCAGTTCCGCTGCTAAACCTATAGGCAGAAAGGAGAAAATACTTGTTCCCAAAAGAAACTTTGGATTTCAAAGCCTAAGCTCTCCTAGTACCTAGAATCTTAAAGGCCTGTTTCAGTTTCAGTTCAAGGAAACTACATCATCCCCAATCAAATTAACACCCTCATCAAATTAACAAAAGCACTTGGTGCAGAAGCAGTACAAACTGCTCCGAATGATGAAATCATGTTTCAAGCATGTCTTTGCTAGAAAATTTAAACCTGCTTGTTTGTTACCTGCTTGCTCTTGTGTACCTGCACTAGGAAAGTAACGGAGAACAAACGTCGGTGAAAATGTAACCAAGTTCTTGCTTTTGGTGAGGTGGTGGGTTTGGTGAGGTGGTTTTCTTCAAATACCATAAAAATGCTCTTAGCATGTGTCCTAGTAAATGTGAATACTACTACTGCGATGTCAGAAATACCTCAAAAAGTGAGATTTGGACATTGCGATGCTCAGTAAGGTTATTATACAAGTAGAAAATTCTTATCTCACTTTTTTTTGTCCCCATGAAAAAATCCTGATTTCTAGAAAATGTCTCACAATGTCACTAGCTATTGCTTTACACATTGCAAATGCCAAGTTACACAAAAGACATCTGATGTTAGTATATTCTGACGATAGAAGACTGCCTTTTGATGCTCATATACAGCCTGATAAATGTGAGTCCCAGCTTCTTCTAATTCAGTAGAAATCTTGCTACTGATGAACAGCTGACAATAGGAAAAAAATCAGCATTAAGAAAGTCCCTCAGACTACTGAGCCAGAATGTAAATATTACACAGGCAGGAGTCAACACACCTACAGAATTGTTCTTTTATCACAGAGATTCTGAACACAAATATGTATTATTTACCTTTCTGTAACTCTGGAGGAACTTCTTGGGTTGGATCAGCAATTGGCTCTGGTGCAAGACTATCGCATTCTTCCTTACTAATGAGATTCAGCTTCTTAAAGTTCTCAATCTCTTGCTGAATTGAAGAAAGCAAATTGTAAATGCAAAGCATGACAATGGATATCGTCCTGAGAAGCAGGCAAATTTCATACAAGAGAAAATAAGCAAGCCAGAATTGACACACAACTACCCATACACAGCCAGTACTAATTTCTTGTAAGGAAGATGGAAGAATCTCTAGCACACATTGTAAAAGTTGCCGTGAACTCTGCCTATAAGCTAAAGCAGCTCAAGTGGCAGTAGCTGAAAAAAACAGTTATGCCAACAAATGGGCAAATGAAGGCAAGTAAGCTCATCTATATACCAGTTTTCACAGACAGGTAAGAAACAGAAATGACTGACATCCTGCCCCTTGTCAAGCCTAAAACCTTCCTTTTTCTTCAGTAAGCATGCCAAGGAAGGTCTCAGCAATGTAGGTGAGCAGAAGAGGCCCCGCTCCCTTCCTCAGGTTACAGCTAAAGAAAAGCCAGTAATTATAATTAATGTGTTCAGCTATAACAAAATAAGGTGTGCAGTCTGAAGTTTCATCTGCTCACAGAGCTACCACTCCAACAGTCTACAGGGCAAACAGAACATTAGTATAAAACTACTTGAAAAAGAGGTATTACTTTCCTCCCTTATTAACTCATCACAGAAACGTGCCCCCTTCCCCTCTGGTAGGGGTTTGCAAATGTTACAAAACAATCAATTCATAGAGCAAAACAACATTGGAAAACTTGAATCATTTCCAAGATGTTAAAAATAGTTCTAAAAACTATTCATTCAATGGTTTTGGCCAAATCTGTGACCAGAAAAACTTGCTGGTTATGCTTTTGATTGTAGCAGATGGCCAAAATTAATCCTGGAGCTGTTTGGACAAGCATGATTTTCAGGTCAAAGCCAAAGAGAGTTACCTTCATCATGGCGTCATTTTCACTCTGCCCCATCCACAAGTCCTGCTCATAATAGTATAAGCCATCATTAATAAGTTTAGCAAGTCCTGATGTAATTTTTGCATGGCATACATGGTTGCCACTATGATCTCCAGGATGTTTTCTCATATATGGTGGTGTCTGTGTTACAATCAAAATCTTGTTGACGTCCTGATCATCAATCTCATAATCGGAATCGCTGTCTGACCAATCAGTAAATTTGTTCTTCTGACTTTGAATTTGTTCCAGCTCTTCATCAAACAAAAAATCAAGTTCTTCTTGTTCTTGCCCCTCTGGAGGTGGGGGTGGCTGCTGTTGATCTGACGTTTGATCGGGTATAGGAACATTTTCCTAAGTTGGAAAAGGTGATGCATTTTGTATTTGAATTAGATAGCGATTATCCAAATGGGAGACAAACAGAGCATGCTAGAACATTGTCAGTAAGTGGAGATAGACAGATAGATATATATATATATGTATAAAGAATGCAGACACTGCCAGATGTTTAGTAAGTAAATTACAGTTCTAAACAATTCTACCATAAGCTTTTAGAACAATCACCAATGCACATTACATTTTTCAATTATCAACAGGTACAACTGTCCCTCAGCAGGTCATGTGAGAGCTCAGATTACTGCAGGAGCACCACCAAAATACAAACAGTATTTCTTTTTCATTTTAGTGAGCTCTGGATCAGGATTTTGAATGCACTTAGTTACTCCAGGTCTGGCGGAGCGCGAAGTACACGCACAAACTGCGTTGCATTATCAAGCATACATTAAAATGCAAAAACTCTTGGTTTACGATATAATCTGAAAGTTGATAGGTTTTGTATTTGTTTATTTAACCATAACTTAAAGGGTTGTGATCTTACCTTTAGTTTGACGGTGGACGCACGATGCCTTTTCTTCACTTCTACCCAAGGTTCAGAGTCCAAATCAGGCAAACTTGCAGACAGTCCTTTAGACATTGTCTGAAAATTACTTGTTTCGGTGTTTTCCTTTGGACTCAGTAGGCTTCCCATTCTTGGAGAATTTGGTGCAGACTCTAGCAGTGGAAAACAGTAGTTCAGTTCCTGTTGTGGGATGGTTTGATTTTGTTGTGTTTGTGGGGTTAATTGTTTCATTAGTCTTTCTTTCAACCGCAGCTACCATTTTTCTACCCCTCTGGTTAAATCTGACACTGCTCAGCAGAATTCATTTTCGTTCTTAGGAGATACCTCCACTCAACATTATCAGAATATATCAATTCTAACAACTTATTTATATGGAAAGTTTCTAACAGTCTGAGAGAAATTACATATTACCCACAAAACGAGGGTTTTCCCCACACCATCCTCTAGCTTTATGGATGGGCCCCTAACTCAGTCTTCATTCTTCCCATTTAATTCCAGCCAGTATTTTAGTAAAAGACATCCTTGCTGAGGGTTGTCAGCAGACAAAGCCATCTCATTATTAATGTGAATGAGATCCCCATCCAAAAGTCAGAATGCACCAAGTAAAGAGCTAACTTCCATCTGCTACCAAAATGAAGCAGATTAACTAACTTAAGCTTACTAGTACTACTACTGAAGGACTGTAGCCCATCCTGCTACATTCTGGAGAATGGTCTCAGCCGTAAGAGACATTTTAATCTACTTCACAAGAGCCATGCGAGCCATGTTGCAAGTTGCAGCCTTGGCAACTGCAAGGCTGACAGGCATACCAGCTGAATCTATTGTTACCAAAAGTAGAACTTCCATTATGAAGTCACTATTGAGGCAAACTTCTTAAGCTAGACAGACAGCCCTAAACTTAGGTTTCTAAAAAATAAATCCTTTACCAGTATGTGAGCCAAAATTTTGGCCTGGTACAAATTCTGGACAATTGATGAGCTGAGAAAAGTCAGTTGGTGGCAGACTGCATGGAGGAGGACCTGGAATTGGCCACTTTTCTGGATCAATCTTTTTTCTTAGCCTCTGATCCACGATTTCAACTTCTGTACTGTCCTTTATGGCCTGTGTGACAAGCATATAATAACTATAAAAACTTTACATATCCAGCACCATCCAAAGAAGAAAAAACCCCCACAAGCTTCGCCACTTACAGCCTCTTCATAAAATCCTTGTAATTGCAAACAGAAATCTTTTAACTTCACAGCACTGACTGTAAATGGCAGTACAAAATTAACCAAGCAGCTTTCTACATACATACTTCTGAATTATTTTACCTCCAAAATGAGTGCAGCATTTGTAGTCAGAGCTTGCATTCGACGGAAGCTAGCAATCAATGAAACAGGTAGAAATCCTTGTTGGTCCATCTTTCTCCTCAAAAAGAAGTCTCTTTCCAAATTTTCTGCGCTGAAATAATACTCACTGTGGAAAAAAAACCCCATGCAAATATGAGCCTATTATAGAGTAAAGAAAACCCTAAAATAGCAACTTAGAAGTTCCTTGTTCAAGTCTTCCATTAACAACAGAGCATACTTGTCATCAACAAAATCATTCTTTCAGCAGGTGTGCCATTACAAGCAAGACTTACAGAACTGCATGTGTGCATGACATGTGAAGACAGACTTATGAACCAGTACAGTACATAAGGGTATAAATCAAAGCCTTGTTACATTTGCATGTATGAACTGCATAAGGAAAAACTAAGCTCAGTTTTTCTTTCACCCATCCCCTCTCTTATTACTTACATGAACAGAAGGAAACAACAGTCTCTTAGCCTCCATATAGATGAAGGACAACTACTGCTTACAGTCAGGGCATAAGCTATTTCCCACAGACCAGTATCAGTGCACCTTCATCCTCAACTGCATCTTTTCTTTTCCCAGTTTCCAGCACATTAGAAGCTTTAAGTATCCTATCTGAATGTTGAGGCACATATATGTACTCTGAATCATTACTTCAAGCATGCTTTTGGGAAGATGAGAGAAAAATAGTAGTGTTGTATTTGACATAAAACCGTACCAAAAGGTACAACATCTCATGAAGAAATGTAAAGACCAAAAGAAGAGATGGTGTTTAGTAGTTAAAGAGAAGAGGAACAAGGGCCATTTCAGGAATTTGACAATACCACAGAACAAGAAACATGAGAGACAAGAAAACAGCAGAAAGACAAAACTTCTTAAACAACGAAACTGCTCTATGAAATGATCAGGGTGTCAAGATCTTTTATACTCAGTGAAGAGAAAAAGGAATTCAAATCATGATCTCTTACACAGAGAAAGGGAAACAGAAAGAGAAAGCATCCTATGAAAAAGAAAGGGAAAAAAAACCCCCAATTTAATCATGACGACTAAAATTGAAGCTCTTCACAGAGTTTACGCATACACCATGATTTTGCATATTACATCCAAGGAATACTACTCATCAGGCTCAGGAAAATGTAGGCAGTGAAATATTTAATGGAGAGCAATTAAAATTCTATGACAAAAAATAGAGATAGTGCAAAAATAAGAGTCCGTTAAAATGCTGAGGAAAAACAAACAAACACAACCACATGCAAATGTAAATAATTCAAATTTCAGCAAAGCATAAACTGTTAAGTGTTTCCACTGAAGTTGAGATCAAGGCCAAAATTACCAAGAGGAGAGGACTCATGTCATCAGTGACCCAAGGAGAAGCTTGATACCATTTCTTTCTCTAATTTTTGGTAGCTAAAGAAACTCGAAGCAAAAGCTCTCTGTATGAAACACTCAGCTTCAAAAAAGAATGAATAAAGTCTCAAAGTTGGACAACAAGACATACGACAAATGAAAACATTGCCATTAAAACAGAGCAAACAGAGAAGAGAATAAGGGGTTTGGAGAATTAAGCTCTTACTCAGAGCTAAGGAAACCGATCAGTGAAGCAACGGTGCACAAAGAGAAGGTTTCTTTCCAGAATATTCTGTTTTCTGTTCTGAACTGCTATATTTCTTTTCCCCTCCCAGTCTAGAAGGTAAGCAAGCACAGAAGCCATATACCAACATTTTACTAATGTTACCTTTACAGTCATACAGTAAAGGTAAAATCTTCTAACGATTCACCTAGTTAAAAATTCCACAGGCGGAAATGGACAATGACTGAACTTGACTCAAACTGCCTCACTTGATGTCCATCACTCTAGAAAAAGGAATGTGAAAGACCATTAATGAAAAATGAAGACCAACGCACAAGTTTGCTCCAAGTAGAGGGACAAACCTAAACACACACCTCCCCTCCAGCTTTGTTCTGCTTTTTCCTCAGAGGCTTCCTTCTTTGCCATAGTCACTTTAAGTATTATATAACTAAGTTATGAAAGACAGACAAAACCATATCCATTTAGAAGCTGGTAATAATAGATAATAGGCAATTGATGAATAAAGTCTGTTTTCCATCATTTTTAATGTGATAAGAGAAGCTCAAGAATCTTCCTCTCTGTCATGAAAAGCGAACTCAATAATCAAACGGCCTTAGGAGTTCAAATCAGACAACCAACCAATGGCTCTGTATAGCCAGCCATGCCAAGCCGCCTATTGACACCTGCCAACCTCTTGCTGCTAAAATAAAATGCAAACGTAACCAGAAGTCAGATGTGACAATGCTGTAACTGACATTTTTCTCAGCAGAGGGGGACATCATCATGTCCTACCTTAGAAGGTCTGGATTCTACACTGCATGCCCAGAAATCTGGCCAACAGTGGAGTGTCTGTGCTCCTCCCCCACTTGTCTGAGGACAGTGCAGGCCGATTATCCTGACATGGGGGTACATGTCCACTGTCAGGTCTCATAGGGGCCTGGCAGCAAAAGTAACAAAAAAGATTGCAAATAGAAGTTTTGAAGTTGATAGCCACATGCCAGATACTTTCTGCCCTTAAAGAGGCTTTTTTCTTCCTTTTTGCGTCAACTGTAACAAAAGAAGCAAGAATAAAATAAGCAAGTTGCTTTATGGAACACAAGGGCAATCAAAAACCACCACAAAGGCATCGCAGAGAAATGCTGTTGCAAGCACAGAAGATGAAAATATCTGCCAGTGGTGGAAACTGTCTCTTTAAAATGAACTAGTGGTTTCCAGGCCCTTTTTGACTTGTCTCCTGGTGATAATCAGTCTTCCAGATGGTTTCTCATTGCCTAATGGTGTACATGAGAAAGTAAACAATTCAGATTATTGAAAAATCAAGTATCATTGCAAAACCACTCTCTTTCAGTTAAATGCTTCAGGTGAAACACTCCAAAAACATAAAACTAACAAGACTTCTCAAAGTGAAATTGAGAGCAAATAAGGGAAACATCTAGCTACACCACCCAAGAAGAGCTTTATAGGCAAACAGACCGACAGTACTCAAAACCACAAGCTCAGAGACATCCATATCTCAATTACATGACAACATAACAAGAGGGCTAAGTACCATAAATAAAGCAGGTATACAAGATAGAGCCAGACTACAGCACAAGATGCAGAACAGCTTCCTTAAAATTCCTCCCCACCACTCAAGTTTTTCCACCCCACTAGTGAATGAATTCAAACTGACACTGGTAATGGTCATATAAAAAAGGTAAATCGAAATTCCTGAATCTCCATCTTTATATGGAAAACAATGATTAAATGCTGTTTGAAACGAGTTATTTTATCCTAACTAGATCTCTGAAAACACTCATACATTAAGCAGTCTACTTACATTTGATGCTTTATATATTCTTTGAGAAGTGCTTCATCCACAGAATACATCTGCACTCCTGCTCCGTCACCATAGTAATACATCACAGCAGCATTAAGCTCAGGTTGAAATATTTGGTTGGTCCCTTCATCATACAGTTCTTGATAACCAACTGAATATTCAAAATTCACTTCAAAATAAAGAAAAAATATTAAGTCCAGTACACAAATATTTTAAGGCATGATATGCACTGCTGCTTTACTGTTGGCTTTCAGCATCTGATTTTAAAATACTCAAGCTAATTAAGTTACAGGATATGTTTTCTGAGACAGCTCTTACTTCATATGCAAACAATACCATTATAAACACAGTTTAAAGTTTTTACTAAGTATTTACTTCTTTGCATACTTCTAGGGTTTCCTCTGTCTCGTCCTCTTCCCCTGCCTCTGCCTCTTCCTCTGCCTCTGGAGAAACCTCGAACACTGCCACCTTCACTTCTCACACTGCACACTTCATCATGATCATCTTTCTTTTCTTTATAACGGCGCCAATCTTTAAGAGGAAAAAAGCATAATACTTGCAGTCATAATTCAATATCTCAGTGCTACGAAGTCCCCTGTAACACAGAGTTGTCAGCTTGAGCCCAGGCAATCCAGACTCAAGACATGCTGGCTGAAGCAGAAGGTCAGATCTGAAGCTGCAAGGGTGAAACGGTAAGGCTTGCCCAGCCATGCCTGAAGGGGAGTCGGGCAGAAGCTGTTAGCAATAAAGAGTAAAATGGCTTAACTGGCAGTCAATCCCAAATGCTTCTGAAGCAACTGAACACTCTGGTGCCAGCTCAGGGATCACAATACCCATGATCAGCTTGGGACATGAAGGAATGATCATGCAATTCTCCTTCCAGGCATGACAGTCTCCTCCTGTGGACAACTCCTACTACCTCAAGACAGTTAAGAATGGCCGCTAGCTCTTGATGATCCTGCTCGGGGTGGGATTTCCACAGCAGTGGGTCTCTGGAGGTCCTTTTGGTTCCCAGAAGCAGTCGCCTACTGCTCCCCTGACTCTGTCCATTTAACAGCAATCATTTATTCCCTCTGTGCCCCAAACTAGGCTTATAAATTAAGGACTCCTTTATGATAACACATGCAAACCTAAGATGACTCTGTAAGAATACATGTAGGTTTTTTTATATAATATGTGGTCTGCACGTAGCAAAAGAGAGCAGGAGAGAAGCATCAGAAGAAAGAAAGGCAAGCAGGTCCAAAGCAGACCCGGGGGACCTTGGCTCCACTCACCACAACACATAAGGACAGGTGTAATTCTCACTTTACTCATGAGAGAAAATGAAGCCCTCTCTTACACCACTTCTTTCTCTTAACACTCTCAGACTTCCATCTTCAGTCACCCACCACTGCTTAGAAGTTTCTTTACACTGTAACTGGATAGTCTTCCAGATGCCAGGGGTCCTGACTCTCAGAGGAATGCCTGGGGATACATCCTCTACTTCATCAAATTGAGAGCTACTAAATTTAACAAAGAACTGACTAAAGATACGATTCTCTGCTCACATTAGAAATCTTGGTTTACTAGCAATTGATTTTAACGAGTCCTACAACAAAACACGTATGCTCATACATTACAGTTCTTACATTTTATTTTCTGTGAAAAGTAGGACTGAATTTATGGATGTCATAATCTGTACATGTGTCCCCCACTGGGAACTGGGACCTCTCTTTCTGCGGTCACTACCCTCATCCTCAGAGATACCAAATGCATGGGCATTACTTGAACTGTTTCCCCAAATCAGTTTCATTTTTGAGCTCCAAGAGTACATGTGGCTCAGACACAGCCAAAAGTCCTACACATAAACTGTTCATAAACCAGTGCTGTATTTACGCCTGAAACAAGGTTTTTATTTAAACAGCCAGTGTTCCTGAAGCATAAGAGATGATTTTATGTTTTCTCACACTGAAACTGGTCTTGAATCACTAGATCCTGGAGACAGAGTTCATGCTACAAGTTTCTGGTCATTTGACCATCTTGAGGAATAACTGCTGAAGAAAGAGATACACCAGTGAAATTCCTCCCCCTACGTCTGTCCATCCCTCAGACATGCAGATCAAACCCTTAATCCATGTTCCTAAAACAACTTCATAAGCAAATCCCACCTTAGTAGCATCAGGCAATTATTATAATAAGCAAACATTTAAATTGTTATGTATAGTGAGATTTTAAAACTTATATGCAAATACATAAACCAAAGAGTTACACTCAGCCTAAGATTTCTGCCATCTCACAAGCTGTATTCAGCACACCTGAGGACCAGAAGCAGTACCCAGCTGTAGTACATTTCTCTGTTATGCTAGTACAACTTTTTGCATGGCCATGCTGAGAAATAGGTCAGGGAACTGGTCCAAAAAAAAAAAAAAACAAAAAAAAAGGAAAAAAGAAAGAAAAATCCATCAGTAGAATTGCCAAAGCAGAGCTCAAAGCGTAGGTCCACAAGCAATTGCTCTGGTAGCAATAAGCTGCAGGAATAGCAGTAGAGCAGGACAGAACAGCCACCTTATGAGACTATTTCCAAACTTCATAAAGCTGTGACCCAAGACTCTGCAGGGAGCCATGAAAAGAAAAATCTATGCTGCTCTGATTTTGCCTCTGCACCAGCGCACGTTGTAAAGGTAGGCTGTTTCCAATCTCAGTTACTTAGCAGAGTCAGTGATCGAGACATTACAATTCTGATCAACTTGAAGAGGTTCAAAAAACATCTGACAGTAAGCTCCTAAACAAAAAACTTCCCAATTTAAAATTTGTTAAACCACAGAAATACCATTTATTTATATTTTGCAGGTTATTGGCAAATATAAACACTAGGTTTTACTTCGTATTGGCAAAGTCAAGTTTCAACATAAACTTCAGCCAATCTAACACCTACCCACATGGTATTATACTTTATTTGCCACAAATAGAAAGACCCAGAGATTGAACACCACTTACTTCTTGTCTCACTCCTCCAGTTGTCATGAGGTATTGGCTTTTTTTTTTTTTGAAGCTAGTTCGAGAGCCTGGTCTTTCTCGACTGTCTGACCTTACATCATCCAAGTGAAGTGGCACCCATTTCTGCTTGTTACCTTGAAAAGTTAATAAGTTTTTTGTAACTCTAGTACTACCTGAGGTTTTAGCTCCTGAAAAGATCCTATAGAATTCTTCTTGTAGAACTAGTAACAGTTAATTTTAACGTTTAAAAACTGGGAGAAGCTTAACACTGAAATTTCAGGATATTATGATATTATGGCATTTTAAGATCTATGATGAATGACTAAATAATAAATGCAGTAAATAGGAATTCCTCAAAATGAAAGGTAACCTTACCTAAGCTTTAAATATATGAAATAAAGGTGAGCTTTTTATTTAATGATTTTTTAGATGTAAGCTCCATTACCAAGAATTTATAGCTATGTAAGTGTTAAATACATACAGTAAATTCATTACTATGTAATTTCACAACTTGTATATGAAACTTAAGGGTAAGAAATAACATATCAAATAAAGATTTCAATCACAAACCATAAAAAATTTCCTAAGAATTTAGCTGTGATATTGTATTTTAACTTGAGATACTCAGATTAAGTTCTTTCATGTGCATCAAAAATGATTAGCAAAGCTGTATTTTACCATAGGCTGGCCTAAAATATCCACTAACCATTTTATTTAGTGCTGATATTTGCTGTTCTATACTTAACTGGTATTATAAGCTTCATACCTTTGTAGCCAAGAAATATAAGCAAACACATAAAACAGGGGTCAAAATGCGGGGAAAAAAGTAATAGGTTGTAGGCTGTACCTATGACTTTGAAAAAATTAACAGTAATAAAGAATTTGGTTTTAAATATATACATAGAAAGATTAACAAATCTAAACAGCAAAGGTCTTTAGCATCTGAAGAAATACCAGCAGGGAAGCAAGAAACAAAAGCAGCTGATGGCAGCAGTATCTTAAAACTGTCTTGGCTGTTTCTCCAGCCTACTGCAGTCTACCAACCAAATGAGATACAGGTTTGCTTTCTATTTTTAATGTAACAGATTGGATCAAAAGGAAATTAATAACCTGGTTTATTTTTCACACGATCACTTCAAGGTGTGAGCTAATAGTAAAACACAAAAATGTGTTAGTGTATATAGTTACACAGACCTAGCTATGAAATTAAATTAACATAGTGCTATTTAGGGTAATAAAGATATGAGACATAGTAATGGTTTGTATAGCCATACTAGAATTTTCCATGGACCTTCAGTAGGACACAAGCTGCTTTTCCCCCAGAATCCCTATTTGACTAAGCAGAACAGTCCAAAGAGAAAGGAAGCCTATTTTAAGCTTCCTAGCAGAAAGCAATATATCCTATTATCACCTAGAAAATGCAAAACAGAAAAACTTTCATTAAGTTATTCAACTGGATCTAATGTAACTGTATCAGTGGTGACATTGCATTACACATAGTGCCCAGACTGACCTTTTTTCCTTTGGTTATTAGTTTGAACTTCATCTTTGCTAGTATTATCTCCTGGACCATTTGGCTTTGCCTCCGGCTTGTCCTTGATTCCATTATTGCTTTTTTGATCAGATTTCTCCTCCTTTTCTCTTCTATTTTTTGGCTTCTTACTGTGACTTACAGTCTTGTACTGCAAGAGACACTGGTAATTATTTCTGACAGTACAACTGCTGACAGCAAAAGTTCTAAATTTCCTTTACCTATTAAAATTCCTTTATTATTAACTGTTCTCAATCCTTCAGTAGGCTGAGCTTAAGATCTCTGTTGTTTTCTAAAGTCTCATTTTAAATAGTTCTATTTTCCACTAACTTGGCAAGAATATAAGAATAATTTTTAGACTAAGACAGTTTTTGTTTGTTTTTTAACTGTCAGTGTAGAATTGCAGAGCGCACAACAAACATGTTTCAATACCTCAAATATGAAGTTCATTATATAGGAAAGAAAGAAAGAAAGATTACTCACCAGTACCTACTATTCAGACTGATTATCTTTAAAAAGCTGTGCTTACAGAATATTCAATGGTAAATCAGAAACTCCCATAATGCTGTACAATCTCAACAGCATGCCGAACATTCATGTAAATTATAAGGAGCCACAGGTCTTAGCTCTGACAATTCCATTCCACTAAATCAAAACATGAACCAAAGATCTGAGGAGGTGGAGGTGTATGATTACAGACTTATTTTTTCCTATATTAGAATATTGCATTTAGTGGGAACCATGTGCCTTTGAGTAGAGCCGGCACGCTGAAGATCATTACTTCCTGGAAATCCCACAGAATAACAGGTTTCAAAGAAGGCAAAGTGAAATTTCAACACCTCCTGGGGGATGAAAGGATTGAGAGCAGCCCTGTGAAGAAGGGCTTCATGAAAAGCTGGACATGAGCTGACAATGTGTGCTCACAGCCCAGAAAGCTAACATTATGCTGGGCTGCACCAGAAGCAGCAAGACCAGGAGGTCAAGGGAGATGATAACAAAGGATACTTACTTCATTGTTTGCTATTTCACTTGGTGTTGGCCAGTTTGTGATATCATCGTGATATACCTCAGCCTGCAAAGATGATGAACAGTTTATACTACTTCCTAGATTTAGACCTTTTTAATATGGGGAAGGGAATATGTGGGTCATGACTCAGATGGCCAGACTAGCCCCCTTGAGCTGATTTGTTAGAAGTAGCAATTCTTAAAAACTGAGAAATAAAACAGAAAATAAACATGCAACTTCTGAAAATGGAACATGATCAATTGTAGAAACAACTATTCATTGCTGTTACATCCAGATCAAGGTCCAATACATCTTAGCTTGTCATTAGTATAACTGTCTAAAGAAAGCCTTCATAAGGAATATTTAAAGCAGGCACAGGCCAAAAAAAACATAGCAAGCAAGCAAAATTTTCTACATTCTATTATAAAACAAATTAAGAAGGCTTATGACTTAAGTGAAGGTAAAACAGTTGTCAAATTAAATGTTGTTTTACACATAGCTTCTTATTAAGTTAAAGGTATCTACTGCTTAAAAGACTAGTAGCTTCTGGAAGACGTTTGAGCACAGGTATTATTCAAACTAAAAAGTGGTGGCTGTACAGAATTTTAGAAACTTAACTTTCCAATACAAGGATTCAGCCTCTCCTGTTGTCATCATTATAATTTAATAACAGCACATAAAGAGCACACATCACATAATATGCAAAAAGGATTTCCAAAACCAATCCAGAATCGCTTGTGCTCAAGAGCTGTTGATTCTTTGCAGCCCTTTCACATTTTTATACAATCCCATTGGTTTTTTGAACCAAAGTGCCTTCCCTTATCCCCAGACCACTTAAGCACCCCTTCTACCTTAAAAATTTCCCTTCTTTTTTTACTTTCCACTTCAAAATTAACCATTACCAAGGCAGAACATAGCACTTCTGGATGTAACTTCAAAATACCTCATTATCTTTTTATTTTAACACTCTCAGCTATATACCAGATTGAATATTTTTGGCCAGAAATAGTCCTTCAAAATTCTTTCATTTGCTTACCACATTATCAGCTGAGCTAAAAGCCAGTTTAGATTAATAGGTCAGATTAACTGGAACTTCTAACACAACTGATGCAGTAATTCATAGCTAAATGGCCTTCTGGCAAATACAAACCTTACTGAATTTCCTTGTCCTGGGTTTCGCTGCTTTTATAACTTTAGTGGAATTATGTAGTTCTGAAAAGGAAGAAAAATATTTTCAGGTGAAGAATTACACATTAAAAGAGTAAGGAAGGTATATTTTAACAACTCGTGCTATGCCAAAGTATTTGTTGAGGCCTTGGTATCAAAGTCTATGAAAATTTCCAGAAATTAACTATTATACATGACATTGAAAAACTCACATTCATAATGACTATAAATAATCTCAAAAACCATTTGTACAGAATACTGTATAACACACAGTATTTAAGCATTTGCTCAGCTATAAGTTCAGACTATTTCAAAACACTTAAGTGGCAGCAAAGAAAATGACCCCTTGGAACACATTTTAGAAGTTATCCTATCAAGAAGCTATATTTGTAAGACAGAATTGAATTACTAGATCATTGTGCAAGCATGGAAAAAAACCCAGCATAGAAGCAAATACATAATCGCAAATTCCTAGTAATTTTCTTTTATAAGCAACTACCAAAATGCCACATAAAATTTAGCCATATTGTTTGTAATCAATCCAAACCAATGGAAATATAGATATAAGGAAAGACGAAAAGAGCAAATTACTATAAAACCTACATTAAGGCTGATAAATTGTAATGCCCAAATTCCACAATGGATACGTTTATGCTAAATATGAGCATCTGCAATGAAGCTGACACTCACGCACTTTCAGAACCATCTTGAGTCAAGACTAAAACTTTATAACAATGATCCCACCTGATCTCCTGAGCTACAGTCCATTATACTTCTACCAGTAATATCTGCTAGGAATTAATGTAATGCTTGGAAATAACTCTCTCTCTCATCTATGGCAACATTATTGGGCCTAATTACCTAAGATCAATAACCTCCTCTGAATTAAAAACAAGTCTATTTAAAACTTACTACGTGTTTTAATACGGGTGCAATTACCCTTCCACAAAACAGTAAAACAAACCAGACACTAGTATCAAGCAATTTGCTTGGAGATTAAAACTGAGACAGAGAAAACCACTTCTGCTAAGCCCTTGCTCTGCTCTCCCTATGCCAAAGCATATTTTCCCATGGAGAAGTGGTCACAAGCTTTCCTTTAAACTTCTTATTCAGTATTTTATTGCAACACAAGCTGAAAACATTGAATGTGACTGAAATCACTAGTGGATTATTATTATTATTATTATTTCATACAGGGATAACATCACCTCCTCAACCCTTCTCTCTTCCCCATCCAGTGACTAATCTTCCTTATCGCAGCTTCACACTGGGAACCCCACCCTCGTGCCCCAGTGACTCTGAAAACCCTCTCTCTGCTTCCTGGAATATACTGTCAACATTCAAAGCATAAATTTCTGCATACTCCATAGTCCTGTAAATTACATTAGTTTTACTGTATACAACCTGCACATCACACAAGACATGTGAATTCAGTCAATCCTGATCGGCCTTTGACCTTCACACCATTTACCAGCAGGGATTTTTCCTCTCATACAGATCTGCTTTTTAAAACCAAGACAAAACACCCTCCCCAAACTGCCTCTTATTATTCAGCTTCAATTACCTTTAGACTGAGAGCTTTCAGAAACACACAGTGACTGTGTTACTGTGATTTTTACTTGTCATTAGCAAACTAATTGCCCTTTACAAAACAAGACAAACAGCTGCAGAGGTGGAGTAGCAAACAAATTTGTAATTTTCTCCAACAGAACTGCCAATTATGTGAACAGGTAAACTGACTGGCCATAGCATTTGTCCTGCAGCAGCCTGTAAACACACCTCTCTAGCTGTGCAATTACCTTACTGAAGCCCTTTTTCCATCTCACAGCACTTTTACTTAAATTGCTGCTGAAGGACGCTCTGCAAGAACTGCTCTGTGTGTCACCAGGGTATAGCAAGGATTCAAAAATAAGAGACTCAATGTCGCTGTACTATCTTAGTCATGGGATATTATTCCAGGCGGCAGGAGAGGCTGAGTCGAGCAGAATGAGACCCAACTCGTTTTAAGGCATCTCTCTTATCTGTACGTAGTAATCCAACACTTGGAAGATGCATTTGCACACTAAATGAAAAGAAAATTAATGTTAGGCAACACACCACCTAGTTGATGATGTCCCTTCTGAACTCAAAGGCCTGAGATCTCACAACGCTCCATACTTAGCTACCCGAAAAGAACTCCACAGAGTTCCTTGTTCTCCCAAAAGAGCCATGCTCAAACCCAAATTTAACTGATCTTTTCTAGGGCTAATCACGTGGGAGTTGAATTTTAGTGTGAAGCATGAAAGGGAAGATAAAAAGAAGGGTGGGAGAGTAAAAGAACAAAACATCAGATGACCTGAAGTTTTACCCAGAGCACATCTGTTACCTTCTTACGAAGCAGCCTTGAGCCACTGCTCAGGCAAAACGCACTTCAGAGTGCGTTTAGATAAAAGCTTTATGCTCTACACTACTCCGGTGTTTGGTTTCAACATCACATGAAAGTGCTGAACACCCAGAAATGACATCTTTAGTACCTTGCTCCAGCAAAACCCAACAAGCCCTTGCAAATAAACTGTTTCACTACTCGTTAATTCTAACCTAGCTGTATTAAAACTGTTCATTTGGTCATATGCTACAAGGTGACCTGTTCAGTAATGGCATGTTGTGTTGATAAAAGAATTCAGTTATCTTCAGTTACTTTACTTGGTGGGTTTCAGCTGAGTTTTGAGGTGGCAGGGAAAAAAGCAAAATCAAGAATGAGGAAATTTAATTGCCCATTATCATCTTTCAGTCACTGAACTCCATCCAGTAAAGACGCAATCCACACAGCGCCTTTACTGGAGGCACAGAAATCAGCCTTCAAAGCCATTTTTATTACAGTTCTTCCAAGTCTGTTAATACTCCACATCCTAGCAAGAGAAATTTTCTTCAGGAAGACAGTGATTTGCAAGCATGCCAAGTGCAGGACGTCAAGACATATGGGATGACAGTTCTGAAAGTTGAACGATGAATTTTGTATCCACCAAAACAGCAGCAATTCTCTGGGACAACAGCAACAGAGAGGGAAGAGCAGACTAGATGCTGTGCAAAGATAAGAGAGGAAAGATTGTACATAAAGATATATCACCAAAGCAATTACTGGTTACATGACAAACTGAGTTCATAGTAGTAGTATAAGTAGTATTTCAGAATGGATGAAGTTCTGCACATAAATGGGCAGCAAGGTTGGTTTTTTTTCTGATAGAAGGGGAGGGATGATATTGCCAATTTCTTTTGAAAGCAGAGACTATCAATAAAAAGGTGGAACACACTCCCATTTTGAAGCAAACGTGGTTTATGCTGTAAGGATTGCCAAGCAATAGTCAAGTTTTATCTTTACTTGGACTCTACATGTATTTCCTTCAGTGAACAAACAACATCACAGAAATACCAGAAGTGCTTCATGAGGCAGTTGAAATCACCCAGCATAAAAGCTCTTCAAAACTTCATTGGAACCTGTTTGTTGAACTTGTACATTTTCCTTTCAATGCTCAATTTGAAATTTCATAGTATAATCCATTTTTAAACAAGGTAAACAAGCTGTCTAAATAGAATCATGGAATAGTTAGAATAGTTAGGGTTGGAAAGGACCTTAAGATCATCTAGTTCCAACCCTCCTGCCATGGGCAGGGACACCTCACACTAAACTGTCGCCCAAGGCGCCGTCCAACCTGGCCTTGAACACTGCCAGGGATGGAGCATTCACAACTTCCCTGGGCAACCCATTCCAGTGCCTCACCACCCTCACTGTGAAGAACTTCTTCCTTGCATCTAATCTAAACTTCCCCTGTTTAAGTTTAAAGCCACTACCCCTTGTCCTACCACTACAGTCCCTAAGGAAGAGTCCCTCCCCAGCATCCTTCTAGGCCCCCTTCAGATACTGGAAGGCTGCTATGAGGTCTCCACGCAGCCTTCTCTTCTCCAGGCTGAACAGCCCCAACTTTCTCAGCCTGTCTTCATACGGGAGGTGCTCCAGCCCCTGATCATCCTTGTGGCCTCCTCTGGAATTGCTCCAACAGCTCCATGTCCTTTTTATGTTGAGGACACCAGTGCTGTACACAGTGCTCCAAGTGAGGTCTCAAGAAAGCAGAGTAGAGGGGCAGGATCATCTCTTTCGACCAACTGTTTCAACAGATAAATGTGAAACTCTTGCAAGTGTGACAAAACAATCCCTTGAAGTGTATTGTACTTTAAATCTAGAGCATGGATTTAGATCCAAGACTCTGGGAAATAAGAAAAACAGTAATTATGTTAAGATCTTTCCTACAACAGTTCTAGCATTTTATAGTAAAACTACATTACATTGACCTTGTTCACACTATTTGAACAACTGCCCAAGACAGTGAGTTATGACACCAGCATCCTTCTCTCTATTTACATTCAAAACCAGTCAGTTTTTCAACACAACAAGCAATAGGGGAAAAAATCCCCAACACAATTGATTAATCATTATACTATTTATTTTCCTTATCTCATTTTTCTCCTAGCTGCTCCATAGAAACCTGCAACACCTGTGACTGTTTCTGCAAAAGTTTTCATGGTCTAAAGGGAGCACGTGCTCGAGTACAGCAAGCCAGTACTGTGTCCAAGACTCAAGGCAGCAGGACGGATTTCTCTCTCAAAAACAGGTCTCCAGTTCAGAAACAAACCCACTCCACACTAAATTACATATGCTGTTACATACAACTAAAATACAGACACCACATTAGTAAAGGTAATGGTTTTAATCCCTTCAGGGTTGGGGTAATTGTCAATGTTGTACTCTTTGATAATTCTTAAGGTAATTTTTAAAAACTACTATTAAAACACTCAGTAAGTTCATAAGAACTAACCTTAGATACATCAAAAAACAACCAAAAAACAACAAAACACCATAATCAGATCATTTACCAATTTGCTAATCAAAAGCTGGCTATTCCTATTAACACAGCACACCTTTACCAAACTGTACTTTTACTACCTGCTTTGCTAATAGACTAACGCAAATTAATTTATACCATAGCACTACAGCGATCTGGTTCTGCTACCAAAACAGCAATCAGATAAAAAGAATTCTTTGATGCCCAGAAATAAGTTCAATGAAGACAAACTGAGCACAATGTAAGTTCATTAACTACATCAATCAAGAACACCAGGAAGCAAACCTGCTTCAACCGCTTCAGCAGCACAGGCATTTTGCTTCGCTGAGTACTTTCATAAACTTCATGAACAATTTTTGACTAATTATCTAATGAATCATTGGAGACCCACATCAACTACACAAATCACATGAAGACTAGAGAACTTGGAATTCAGATTCCCGTTTGCAGCCTCAAAAAAAGGGCAGCACCTCAGGGTTCATCAAACAAATAGGTAGGAGAACTCACAACAAAATTAATTCAACATCTCCATCCTGCGCCAACAGCTTATATGGAGGAAGGGTAAACTAGCCTCTCCCGCCACAGCCCAGCTCTGAGGGGTAGTGGAAGAAAAACGAGGCTCAGAGGAAGGACAAGGAACAAAGAGCTTACACTGGGCTGTCCACAGCTTCCATACCCACACATCTTGTTGGCTCAATTTAAAAAAAGATTATCTTGTTACCTTGTGAAAAATGTATCTAGAAGATTATACAGGACTTCTTCCTTGCAACTGTTCCTCTCCTCTTACTCACAGAGCTTCAACTTGAAGAACTGAAGGCTTCCTAGAATA